ATCACAGAAGAAAATTCTACAGGACTATGTCCTCACTTTGGTATACCTTAAATTATGCTTCTTTGATGCATTTTCTGTGCGAAGTCCACATCACAACTAGCTATCGCTCTCTGCTTCTTGGCATAGACTCCCCTATCATCTCTAGTTAGGGAGATTTACCCTTGCCTGTTCTCTACTGCTTCTATAGACTTGAACATATCCAGGTCATAATATTTTGGTTTACAGTGTTCATGTGTCTGAGAAGTGTAAGAAAATGTCATTACATGTGATATTATTGGATTACAAGGCAAGCCAGCTAGCTGAATCAGAATCATGATATATAAAATAATTGCACTCCATAGCCATGGTATTCAAACAGCAGGCTCTCTTTGAGAGTTCAGACTAACTCCAAGGGACCTGCAAGTAGTATTTAAGGCAGCCCTCTGTACACTTACGCTTACTACAGTGTTCCAAGCAGCCAGTAAGTACCCCACTTGAAAAGTTTTAGGGGTCCATAAATCAAGAGATGGGGGAGCAGGGAGGGAGTCACAGCAATCTTAAGAACTCAGTAGTTTAATATTCTCTATCCTAGAACAGAAAATTCAATAGCAGAAGACAAGTCTGACAGTATGCAGTATGTCTGACAAGATGACTAAAATTAAAAGTATAAACAAAAACAGGAAAAAACTACTATGGGCTTAATCTTAGTTCTCAAAATAAATAATGTTTGAAGTTTAAGAAGTCTAACCTTTGCATTTCCAAATGCAACAACTAATTTCATAAAATTAGCATTGAAAACAAAGTTTGTAACCAGGGAGTACTTATAGACTTTGCAACATCAATACTGCTAATATTGTTAAATGCACTTTAAACAAGTAATTTCCATAATGTTAACACAACAGCTAAATACTGCATATCTGCTAATGGCTCTCAGCATATAGCCGACCTTCTTTTTATGCATAAGAACACTGTACTTCTAAATAAGTCCCATGAGTTATATCACCAGCTAAAAATCCTGACATATTTAAATAAAATTCATAAATAGGGCAGTTAGTGAGTATCTCTTAAAAATGAGCTCAGAAGCTCATAACAAAATTTTAATATCTGCCAAGGTCTTTCACCTTATCCAAGTTTCTTATTCTATACAGCAGTGCGGAGAGAACAGATTTTTCTTTGTATCTGTTGTCACAAAACGACTGAGTTAGAGTACACACGTGGCCAAGGGCCACACTAAGAAAGGGAAAGAGGAAAGAGTGGAATTGAGCCACAAATCAGGCTATTAGTGGAACTATAGAATCATAGAATAGTTTGGGTTGGAAGGGACCTCTAAAGGTCATCTAGTCCAATTCCCCTGCCGTGGGCAGGGAGATGTCCAACTAGATCAGGTTGCTCAGAGCCCCGTCCAACCTGACCTGGAATGTTGCCAGGGATGGGGCATCCACCACCTCTCTGGGCAACCTGTGCCAGTGTTTCACCACCCTCAGCGTAAAAAAATTTCTCCCTTACATCTAGTCTATATCTACTCCCCTTTAGTTTAAAGCCATTCCCCCTTGTCCTGTCGCAACAGGCCCTGACAAAAAGTTTGTCCCCATCTTTCTTATAAGCCCCCTTTAAGTACTGAGAGGCTGCAAGAAGGTCTCCCCAAAGCTGCCTTCTCTTCAGGCTGAACAACCCCAACTCTTTCAGCCTTTCTTCATAGGAAAGGTGTTCCATCCCCCTGATCGTTTTTGTGATCCTCTTCTGGACCCACTCCAACAGGTCTGTGTCTTTCTTATGCTGAGGGCTCCAGAGCTGGACGCAGTACTCCAGGTGGGGTCTCACCAGAGCAGAGGAGGAGAGGGGCAGAATGACCTCCCTCGACCTGCTGGCCATGCTTCTTTTGATGCAGTCCAGGATACGGTTGGCCTAACATCAGCCATAACTAATGTCAGATGTGTCTCACTTCACACCATGACATACTTTTCACTGTTAGGTTGGGTACCATGGACATTCAACAAAACCGAAATGTTCTAAGAAAGTCACAGAAATTCTCTTCTACTCCATCATCAGTTTAAATAACCCTTGCTCCTTTTGCCTAGTTCCTTTCCCTTGTTATAAAGACAGATGAGCCCACGCCACCTACGATCGAAGGTCAGTGCACTACACCACCACACAGGATACGTGGAGCCAGCCTATCACCTCCTCTTGCTCCTTCTTCCACTGGAGGGGCTAGGGAAAACACAAGGATGAGGAAGTGATGGTGTCTCTAACAACAGCTATTCAAAAATTGAAACTGAATGTAATATTTCCTTTTACAAAAACATCCTGAAGCTCAACAATCACAGCGAGACTGTTTTGCTGTCAACAAGAAGCATAATATAAGAATAGTGAAATTGCAAAATCAATCACATACATTAAAAGCACAAATGCAAACTGAATTCAACCTTTGTGGACATACTCATAACCTCCCAATTAGATGATCACATACTAATGTTTCCACAGGTCTCCTACCTTATTTAGCACCAAGAATAGATTCTAAAAAAAATCCTAAGTGATCTAGCCAAGTATACACTCTATGTTCATACTCCTAGACTCTCTGCAGCATTTGATACTATTAATTAATGCACTGCCTCATCCTAGAAATGCAGCAATGATCCAGTACACTGTAGTCACTGGTTCCTGAGTCCTCCCTAGAAGGACACTCCAACACACAGCAACAGGAAAACTGCACTCATGCTGCTCAGTGCTTCTGACACCCCAGAGGAATCAGTTCTTTCTAATTTTTTAGATATTAACTGATCTACCTGAATGCAGTAATAATCACTTCAAAACTTTTATCCAGAAAATAAACAAATGGGAAAAAAGATAAAGTGTTGCAAGTTGCCAATTTGTTTTTAACATCCAGAAAATGTGGTGCTGAGGTATACACATGAAATAAAAGATGCACAATGCCTGAATCTTTCTGTGTAATTTCTATTATGTGCATTTGTATACCAAAACATTAAAAGACAATATATGGTTAGTGATAGAAACCTTTATTCTCTTATCCCTACCAAAAATAGAATCCTTACATTTAAAGCATTCCACAATTTATCAACAATTTTCACAGTAACATAAAGTAATAAACACCACACTACCATATGCGTCGATCAAGACTAGTTCCCACAGTTAGGCATAGTATGCTCTGCACTTCTGCTTTCTAAAAATTACATATTGCACTACCATACACATTTCTGTAGGAGATTATTTAAATTATATTTAAGCTCTTAATGATACAGATCTTGAAACTTTTGATTTTTTTGTTGACAGCTGCTTAGAAGAATAACTAAGTATTTCATTATTATGCCCCTACGTACAAGAGGTTTCAGGTGATACAAGGTCTTCAACACTTGCACACGAAGTACAAACCACTAACCCTTACTGCAGTTTATCAATGCTGAATCACAGAACATAATGTCTGACTTGCCTGAGCATAAACTAACCTATAAATGTTTAATGCTGGGAAACTGTTAAAAGGTGAGGTTCCAAATTACTTTCTAAATCACTGGTACTTTTCATTAAATTTCTTTTGTTCATTCTTTTATGTCAAAGTTTCTCCTTTTACCATTTCCTGAACAAAACTTCCCAATTCACTTTCCAACATACAAAAGCAACATGAAATTGTCTGTGTATTTCAGCATGGAAAATCGTGGGAGCACTATGAAAGCTCCGAGAATATCATTCTTTAACTGAGGCAGAAATCTTTTACTCCACTTTGTTTTTAAAACGGCAATTTCTTTTCTACATGAAACTGAAATTTATTAATAAATATAACCTACTGCCAGGCAGCGGCTGTGCCGGGGCAGGACAGCTCAGGCTTAGGATAACAGGAACAGAAAGGTAATTCCAGGAGCATCCTCCTCCTGTCGTTCTGGAACAAGATGGCAACCTGCGGCAGCCTCCTCACCGGAGAGGCAAGAGTGCAGGCTGTGGTTAGATTACTGTGCAACTGCTCATCTTTGACAAAGTTAGCTGATAAAACTAGTTTATAACACTTCACTAAACACTAAAGAAAGATGCTGCTTATAAATGCAGCTAGTAGGCTGATTAGCGTAAGGCCATGACAAGTGCCCTGTGCTGTTAAATAACAGCACAGAAAAAGAAAGATTTAAAATACCAGTTGGAAAAATAAATACTTTGCTTAACAGGAGGCTCCCCTTGCATGCATGTAAGTTCAGAAAAACATCTTGCTGAAGCAGATGGCTATTTCACTTGGATCTCTCTACTACAGAGATATAGTTGCTAGATAGCAAAGGATACACAAAAAATTCACAATATGCACGTACTAAATCTGCTTTATAGAAATAATTTTTAAAAAAACCAAAACCACCCTTACTGTAACATTGTATTTAAAGATTAAATGAAAGCAACATTTCTCAGAACACCAAGCGCAGAGAAATCCTGAATTATAAAGCTACTTGCCAAGGAAATGAACGATCTACATGAATACTTTTAATAAGCCTTTATATAACCATGCTTTACAAGAAGTGCGCGCACTCTCTCTCTCTGATACTGGCTCAATTCCTAATAGCAAAGGTCCCGTTGAAAGCAAAAATCATGGTTTGAAGGTTACATTATTGTAAAGATCATTTGTTATGATTTGTATCGGGAAGCGGCTCATCGTGTATTGCAATTTGCTTCCCAGTGCCATAAACGGCAGTACAGCATCAAAATTATGACTGAAAGTGGCAGTTATTTTAGAGAGGTACAAGCAAATTAGTAAGTGACAAGAATTAAAATTGTCAAAATTTCCCAGGTATTCAAATCACGTTATTCATAAATTAAAACAACTACAAGGATATTCATTATGCAAATAAAATTACTTTCTGCTAATAATATAAAATTATAAAAGCGTAAGGTCACACCACTTATCTTTTGGGAGCAATTCTGACCTCTGTTATATATATGGACAACACATCTGACTTCAGGTGAGTATTCTGCTAAGAGCAGAATTTTCTCCTTTCTCCTCCTCCTCACTTGGAGTATGTCCAATATAAAAATCATTAAGATTCATAAGCCTTACTATAAAGTGAACTTACCGGTGCTGTATTATCTTTAGATTCCACACCAAAAACATTCCGTCGTTTCACTGTCAGCAAATCAAGATCTTTAGTATCATCATCATCATCATCATCATCTTCAAAGAACTGCATGGAGTCTGGGTTTGGAACCCTGCTTGGTACAGGAACTTCTTTTTCCTCCTCCTCAGATACCTCTTCCAATTCATCCTCAGATTCACCACCCTCCTCAGCACCCTCACTGGAAGCAGAACATTCCTCAGTTTCTTTCCTTCTCTCCTTTTCCTTTATTTTGTTAACAGACACCTTTCCACTGAAATTAGCTCCGCATTTCTCCACTTCTTCCTTGCTTATCGAGGAGAGGGTATTTTTATTTCGCTCTGTCTCCTTCAAGTGATCCTTCCCATCAGCTGTCTCATTCGCACACAGCTGTTTCCGAACCTTTTGAAGAAATCTCACACGAGGTGCCACTGCAAGACCAAGTGATCTAAAGCATGAAATTAAATATAAATTAATCTGAAAGGTAGATACAGAAAATTTGACTAAATTAGAAGCCCTCATTGATGGCTCAAGTGATTAGATTTTAATTATGGTAATTCATATTGATACATTTTGACCAACATATTTACAAAACAATATTTAGCCTACAACAGGACAATCTAGCTTGAAAAATACAAGTGAACATTGGGAGAGGAAGGAAGATGAAATAACTGAGAACTCTCAAGAACAGTTACAAATCCTCCCAGGAAAGAAGGCAAACAAAGAACCTGAAAAGCTGTAGACAAGAGCAAATTATCTATGATTCACAGTAAAATATTGTGGAAGAAACATCAGTGTAATTTGGTATTGAAGATACATAGATGTCATGTCAAGGACTGAGACAGCACTGATGTCTGTGTCCTTCACTGCTAGAAGTGCACCCAAAACGTTATACCCACCATCTCACAGTGATGGAAAGATTAGAAGAACAAACATAGTATGGAAAAATTACTAATTGCAGAAAAAGCTAAGGAAGAGATATTTCTCCCTTAAAGGAAATCTCACCTGCCTGCATCCCTCTACAGCAAGGCTTTACCTTCACGTCATATGTAACTAGCAGTGCCAACAATACTATTATTTTACCCAGTTATTCATGACAATTCAAACATGAAGAGACAAAAGATTAGCCAAAGAGCAAAAATACTGTAGAGCAACAATACTGGAGAGCATTGCATGGGAACAGATACTCTGTCTCCAACAGATCATTTGACTTCAGCAAACTTCGTAATTGCCCACTATTATTACACCTGACCCTGCCAAATCCAAATTCAAAAAAGCAGTATATGTGTCTCTTTCAGAGTTCACAAGCCTTCTCATTAGGTGAATAAAAAAATGTGGGGGGACACTGGTACTGTGCAAGGAACATACGGAGACCACATCTACATTTGAAACACACAATACAGAACTGATAGTTTGTAATACTCGGGGCTTGTACATACACTTAGCAAAGGAGTAGTGTTTAACCAACTAAAATGGCTACACATATACACATGCACACACGCATATAAAAGACCAGTCTCTTTCGATTCAGATTATGCAGTTATACACCACCTCTCCTCTCAACACTGCTCGTTTCAAGTAGACAGCATGATGTCTTCTCTTCACCATACAGCTCTGAATAAAGAAACCTGAGTTATGTCACAGGAGAAAAATCAGATCTGCACTCCCTAGTGGAAATGTCATTATAAACAGTCCACGAAGCATCCAAACGGTACTGCAGAGCAGCAAGAGTGCACTGTAGGCCCTGGAGAGCCTTGAACTGTTAATGGTAGCCAAAGAGACAGAGTAGTCAACAGTAAAGACAAGCTGCGTAAATAACAAACAAACAAATGCCGACACAACCACACCTGTGGTTAAACGGGGCAGTTTTGGTACTGGCCACAGGTTAAAACACTGAAAAGTGGACACACACCCAAAAAGCAGCTCACACTGTTAGGATGAGGAACAAGTTTTTCAATAAATAAGCCTTAATTTTAATGTAAAGTTAATTTTGTTTAAGTATTTCTGGTAACCCAATACTGTTCTTCTACAAGCAACTAACAGCAATAGTAAAACAAATAAGAGTTTTATGGAAAAAAAAAAATCAAAGTAAGTTTTTATCCAATGTATTTTGCACATTTACTGATAGTGCACTGCTGAGAGGATAACACAACACATTTGGGAACTGAAATTGGAGCAACCAGCAATCTTAAACTTGTTTCAGTGTTTGACAGCTAACACTAATTACCTTTGCAATGAAACTATGTGTTAAAGTTTGGCCTATGGAATAACTGAAACAAAAAAAAACCCAAACAAAGCAGATGTAATGCTTCACTGCAACAGCTGGATGAGATTCAGACCTGGAATTGGGCCTTAACACCAGGCACAGTAAAACACATATAAAGAGATTGCTGCAACATCAACAAATGTGCAATCTCTTCGGCAAGGGGATCAAAGTAGCAAAAAAAATCCTTTGCAAGAGAAAGACATTTTTGCTTTTCCAGGTATCACAACATTATTCTACATAAAGTATTGCTGTCAACTGTTGACAAAGTACTGCAAGTAGTAGTACTGTACAGCAACTACGCAATCTGTGTTCATTTCTCTTTCTCAGACAGACACAATGTACACAGGGTTGCAAACTCCGATTTTATCACAGATTCTCTTCTATGTCTCCAGAGCTAATATCAAAGATCAGGATCATGGCTGCAAAGAAAAGTTTGACAAGGTGAAGAAACTACTCTCTCCACAGGAAAAGTTAAAAAAGTCAAAAAGAGCAGCCCATAATGTGGAGGAGACTTCAACACAGCTTTTCTCATTCAAATATGAAATCCCACCTGCCAGACTGCTGTGCTGCATTGATGTCTTACTTTAATAATTGCATAAAATTTATTATCAGTTAGTGTTGGCCAATTTTTCTACATTACTTAGCAATCCTACCAAAAAAGACCAGTGCTATCAGAATTCAAATGACATCTGAACTAAAAGAATACAGCCCTTAGACTTGGGGGAGAGGGAAGGTGTTATGGTCGAATTTGGTAAGAAAGTAATAGTAGATAAGCTTAAACAAAGTTGTGTACAAACAATCCCCAAACACTTTTAATTACATAACTTCTCAAAGAAATGTCAGCATTTTGGCTCATTACTGCCTCTTTTCTATAGTATATTCCAAACGGAGAACAATTTGGGACAAACACATTCTACTACTCCTAAAAGTTTCCTCATATTGTAAGATTCAAGTTTCTTTAGAATTTATTTCTTAATCATTTGCCAACTCTAGAGTTCAGTCATACTAAAAAAACTGAATATATGAACCAGCTTTTCTTTCCATCAACTAGAAAGGTCAATGTTAGTTTTCATTAATTCATTAGATGCCACCCAGAACACAATCCTAGTCCGACTGACATTACAGCTCTTCTTTGATTTTAGTGCTAGCATTCATGCACTCTTCCTGAGTAAGAAATGTGTAATGTTCTCATAAAGACAGACAAAAAGCAGGTATTTAGTGAGATTTCATAAATTCTAACACAGAACACTAAAAACATGCTAACACCACACTGTAGTCCTCAGATTATGGTAGCCTTAAAATGGCAACACAAATTCAGCTGACAAACCAAAAAACAATCCTGTTTCATATTTTGGTGTGAAATGCAATGACTTCCCTGGAGTAAGCTCTTATAGAAAGACATTTTAAATCAGCTTCTAAAAGCAATATTGAAACCAATGGATTGTTTTGCTACTATAAATGAAAGTACAGCTGACAGTTCTATTCGTCAACAGAAACTGAGGTGGCCAGACATCATCATTCCCTAATGCTGATCAGGGAATACACAGAAGTAACTGAACAAAACACCTACAATGCTCAGGTACCTCCTTCAATTCAAAGCAAGTTGACAATGATATAAGTTGAAATGAAGTAAGCCAAAAGAGTAAAACTCCAAAGAAAGAACACTGTATGGCTTTAAGAAGAATACCACTTTTGTTTGCTACTGAATAAGGAAAATCAAACATTAGTAAACATTTTAAAAAAATTAATTCAAATGAATGGTGTATCAAACTTAAAATACTGCCTTTTCTCAGGTTTGTTAATTACGCTTATATAAAGATCTTGAGTATGTTTACATTAACACATGTAATGTCTGTCTTTAAAAAGACAGACTCTTAGACACTCAGAGCAAAATCTGTCCCTGCACAAAACAAATTAAAACAGGAAATTTAAGACCAGTACAATCTTTCAATTTTTAAGTGTCACAAGAGTTCCTAATCTGCACCTAGAAGATTTCCAGTCCTTTTTGAAATATGAGCCAGTTGTAAAGAATCCGAGGTCACTTCTGCAGAACTGCTGCACAATTTTACAAAAGTTAGTGCTTCATTCTAATATTAAGTTACTACATTTACTAAATATAAGACATATTCCATTAGTGAACTTCTTCAGAATTATTTGAACACATAAAAACACCGCACAGTGATTTCTTTTACTGTAGAACAGGTTAGACAAAAATTTAAAATAGCCTGGAAAAGGTTAAATACTCCCAGAAGCTATTTCAAGAGAAGAAATGTGTATTACTTTCCTTGCAATATATGTTACATCTACATTTAACATTTAAAGTGTTTTCACAAGACAGGATGAGCAACCATTTGAAAACAGGAGAAATTAAATCAACTGAAGTGACACAAATCTGAATTAACAGGCTTTCCAGATGGTCTGATTAATAACCAAAACGAACAGAGAAATTGCTTTTGCTGTGTTATTTATTTGACAAACCAGCTTTAGCCCTCTACATTAAGGAGCTCAAATGCATGGTACTCCACTAATAAGGAGGGCCAAGCTAATCAAGAGTTTATGGGTCAGGATCAAAGAGAAGGCCAACAAAGAGGATGTCATGGTTGGAATCCAAACACTTGGAACACCGAGATGTAGCCTTCTTTCCAAAAGTAAAAGAAGCCTCCACCTTGCAGTTGCAGGCCCTGGTGCTGTTCGTACCTGAGCCACACCTGACACCTGCTCAAAGGGCAACACAGCAGAGCACAAGTAACAGAGATTTCCAGAGCGCATTAAAGACCATTTCTCCAAGTTAACTGGATTAGCCAACTCTGAGAGACACTCCACTGGAACTGCTACTCATGCATATGCAAGTACATTTATTTCTAAGGTGGGTGAAGGTCAATAGCAGGCTTGGCTGCACAATGAGAAAAGATAGTTCAAGATCCTAGAAGAAACGAGGATGATGACTAAGAGAATGACGACCCTGGACTTAGAGAGGAGACTGCAGCTTGCTCAGAGATCTGTATGGCAGGATCAGAAAGCTCAGAAGCTTGCAGAAGTAGTTACAGAAAGCTCAGAAAGGGATGGATGGATCTCCAGGTGGTTGAGGGGGAGTTGCATGAGAAATGCCCAAACTCTACAGATTATTGGAAGGAATATTGAGGTCCACATGAGTAATACCATATGAGGCCAAGATTAACTAGGTAACGGCATGAGAAATACTAAGTCTGGTTACAGGTGTATGAAGACTGGAAACAACTGGGGAAAAAGTAATTAGGGGCAGGCTTATTTGTTGGAAGGAGACTGGGGTCTAGAAAAGGAAATACAAGGGCAGCGAGAAGGAAGGCCAAGAACCAGCAAAGGGATGACGAGTTGGGCAAAGCCTGTGATGGGTGCTGTCTGGGGGATGTGCTGAGCAGCCCTGCACTTGCTCATGGCAGCCAGAGCAAGACAACAAACCAAACCCTCTGCCCTGACCATGCAGTAAGGGTCAGGCCTACATCTACAGCCAGGGGGACGGGACTGGGGTGACAGTGCAGTGGGTGCTTTCCCTGGTCAGTGAGAGGACAGACAGATGTGGGCAGATGGATCATGTATCCTGGTATTGCCCATTTCAGACCTGACAGCACCTGCAGCTACCTACTGCTTTGTAACACTGATCTGTAAGCAATATTTGCAAAACTAGCTGGGTACTAAGTTGTGTGTATCAGGCATTTTCCAAATAACTTGGCTTCAACCTGTTTTATTTATTCTCTATGTACCAACACAGGGATAAACAGAGAAAAATATGCTGCATTCCTCCTGGAAGACATGACAAAAATCACAGAGGAAATTACCTTTCCTGGCAGCCCTTTTGAGCTGTGACTAACCTGTCCATCCAGCACACTCGCCTGTTAAAGAGACTGCACAATGACTCCAATCAGTCTCCAGCCCTGGAGGCTGATATATATGTTAGCATTTAACAAAATAAAGTGCCTGAGAAGTAAAATATTTCGAATCCTTGCCTCCTATCCAGGAGGCCAGACTAATTATCCCTTTCCACCCTGTTGTTTGTTTACTTTTTCTTATGTTTTCAAAGCTGTCTTTTGCAATGAAAAGACAAATTTATCTTTTATGCAAGCATCGAGGTTCTCCTTCCCCAAACTTAAAGGCTGCCTATGTTAACACAAGGCCTGTTCAAGTCTTCCTCCAACAAATTATTCTTGATAGCAATTTGTAATGAGAGGACACTGGAGAGAATACTAATGTACCATAGCTTAAAGGTGATCAATCTCTAGAATACATATGTGTATATGTGTACAGAAATGCAAACACACAACATATTGTTTTCTGTATATGTCTATATATAAGCATTTTATATAAATATATAAAAACAAAAAAAGACTACTGCATTTCTGCACACTTAATCAAGAGAGCTTAGGAGATTCTCAGTGCACCGACATGCCAGGCAAGAAAGCAAGGGAGATGGCGGGCAACAGCCTGACAGACTGAAATGCAAACCTGACAGGGGCATTAAGCAGCCTGTTTTCTCTGCAGGATTTTTAGAAGAGTAACATCTATCAAGCTAGCAGTAAATCTCCACAGAAAGGCTGAAATACTTTTCAGAGAATACACACAGAAGGTAAAGGGAAGAAAGGATTCTCATTCCAGGTTTTGCCATGAGTTTGTGTGCAGAACGTAAACCAAGGTTGCTTCTGAACGCAGAATTCAAACGTACCAGACTTTGAGGGCCTTTCAGATAAATTAAGCTGACTGATCCACTGTATCAGTGGATATAAACCAAATTGAAAGCCAGAGGAGTGCAGGGTGTATTTAGGTAGACTAGCAGTCTGGAGAGCGGGGAAGAAGAGTGCTAACAAACTGTTCATTTAGAGCAGAATCTCCAAATTATCTCCCAGATTTATTATCTTCTGACTTTTTGATTACGCTTCCATATATTTCAGTCTTGACTAAACCTCTCCTACTCTCTCCAAACAACTGTCTGGTTTCTTCCATTTTAATACAGGAATGACTGACTAGTAACTTTGCGAAGTTGGGATTAGAATTGACTTTGATGAAGGACTAAATCCTGGCACAGAGGCCTGAGAAGAACAGAACTGCAGACTACTCTGTCGACATCAATATCAGATACTAGATGACACACCATTCTGAAATCCAGAAAGAGGCACTGGGATGCTAAAAATTCAGCATTACCACCATCTGTCAGTTGGTTTCTTAACACACTGGTTAAATTTGTGTGGTCATCCCCCTTACTCTTAATCTTCTGCCACTACCCCTTACATTCAGCATAGTTAAGACCTACCATAAGGTTTTAAAGATGCTGACAAATCACACAGGTGAAGGGGCAGGCAATGCATGTAGTGAAATTTTTCAAGTTTTTGCTAGTTCTCCTTTTTAAAAATTTCTCAGTCCATAAAGTAAGAAAGCATCTTTTATAATAGGCTTATGTACCTTAAAAAACATAATCATGTTAATTGCAGCACAGCACAGGAAGACCAGGTGTTCTACAGTCTAGTAATTTGTCACATTTTAGTTCATTATGCCATGTGCTGAGAAGTTTGAAGACTTAAGTCTTCTCTGTATGAAATTCCAGAGCCATAAAATTAATTTACCATGCATCTTTGAGCACCTTCCTGCTCCCTTCTGACTACCCTATGTCCCGTGAGATTATTCAAAAACTTCACACCTTAAAACAATCTCAGATGATTGTCATCTGTAAAGTCAACCTGTCAAAATTAATTTCCCTCTCATACAAAATGTAGAATGGTTCACACATATGTACAAACATAGACGTAGTAAAATAGATGCTATTGAGTCCAGTGCAGATGGTTCATCTTTACCAAGCCCACTGAATCTTCTGAAAAGTAATTTATGTCCAAGGAGCAACATCCCAATCACACTCAAAATGAGACTGCAATAGATAATTTTTAGATACTCCAATTTCTTTTTAAATAATACACTTTATAGGTTGGCATTTAGCTATGAGGCTGAAGGGCGAATCTGAAAAAAACCCAAACACACCCACAACCCTATTATTCTCTATCCTTTTACTTCACAAGTCTTGTCTTCTATTGTATATAGCAAATGTACCTTCTGCTGTAAGAGTTATTTCCCTCTGTAGAGATATATTGTTTTTACACATAATTGCTATTTAGAATGTCTTTGAAAATATGCAAAAGCACAGCATAAATATGAATCTATAAACACATTATAAGACTGTCCAATTCCGTGTGTTAAGAGAGTCGAAACAGCTATTGAAAGCTATCATACACTGCAAAACTTCTCAATATACAGTTTTCACTTTCCAAGACAATCATACTTACAGGGCATATTCTGCTAGAGGCAATTTGAAAACATCAAATACTTCCTTATTCTTCATTAAGTAAACTGAACGCAAGTAGGATACAAAACACTGAAAGAGAAATAAAAGTATTTAACAAAAAAAGAAATCATTCAATTACCAACCCATGAAACTAACATTATACTGTTGCTCTAAACACAAAATAGAATTCCACTATTAAGTGGCCTAACATCGATTTCAGGCTGAAATTCTTTTACCCAATACCCATCAGCCAAAATTTATCAGTACTACAGAAGTGATGCGACTTCAAGTATTCAAATATTTTATTAAATGCACATTAATTGGCTGAATTTCCCAATGGTATGTCATGTTATTTTCACTAGAAAGAAAATATGGCAAATTAGTCAGAACGAAACATCACTGATTCATTTTTTTTTTTCTCCCAGCTTTTCTGAATGTTGTTATGCTATTCTGACATCTGAATTATGTGGAAGCAAGAACAGAATGTGTTGCTATCAATCTGAGGTGTCCTGACAATCTTAGCCACTAAAAGTGATTCAACTCAATGTAGCTGCCTTTCACTGTGGCCTAGGATAATTCATACTACCTTGCATTTGCCATCAGTTCATCACATACACACAGTCAATGAATGCAACTCAGCTGACCAACATAAATTCACTATAAAACATTTACTAAGACCAGTCCAAGGTTGAAGTTTCAATTAATCCCAGACTTTCACCAAGAAAACTGGAAGCAATGCATAACAATAACTTAATCTTGTGTTGTATTTTCCCTCCATCCTTCCCAAAAGGAAAGATTCTTCTCATGTTTCTTTTACATAGTCTACCTCTACCTATCATCATCAGCATAAATCCTGGAATATCTTAAGTATCAGAAAAGATCCTTGGATTTCCGTTGTTTGTAACCTAATCTCTAACATGTGCCAAAACTCCTACCATGAGGCTTAAACCAGCAAACACTAGTAACAATAGCAAATTAAGTTCATAGGGTTATATTCAAGCATACTACAATCACACCCTTGTTCTGCTAGGTACAGGCACCTGTTGGAGAAAATTATTGTATTAATAATTCATGTGGAATTTAAAAAAAAAAAAAAAAAAATCTATTTCTTGTTAACCTGAGATAGAGGAGGAAAAGACCCAACAGTTAGGAGCATTGATCTCTTACGGGGATTCTTTAAATGCTTATAAGAGAAAAAACATTTCCAAAGGTGAAAAGAAAGATGAGACAGTAAATTAAACAATGTCATGAAGTCATACTTTTCCCCTTGGCAAACTGAAATAAAAACTATTAATTGTAAGATATGTAGAGCTAAGAGATATACTTTGCAAGCTGCCCAATGCCTCGTTACAGAAGTAAATTTTCATTTGCTTATTCTTCCAAATGCTAAGTTTTTGGGTAAAGTTTCCTGTCCAGATTATGTCTTTCAATTAATTTTAGCAGTGGAAGGTGCTAGCACAATCCTTTCAGCTGCTACCAAGAATGAGATGTGGAATAACACACTTGTTTGCTCACATTAAATTATTAATCATTTTACGAAGATAACTAGAACCTTTAGGAAAAGGCTTCAAATTTGACAGATCTCAATCTATTGCTGTCTAGCAAGCAATGACAAAAAATAGGTGATAGAGCCTCTTCTTTCTCTGTAGTGACAGATGGAAAAAAGCAGGTTAAACAAGAAGTATCTTTTCTGTGAATCTGAGAGTTGCAGATCTGAAGATCTACATGAGTCACTACATGCCACGGTAGAAATCTCATTCTGCCTTTTGGATAGCCATCCACTTACTTTACTAGTATTTCTTTGGTACACATGGTCTAGAAATTACTAAGTGATAGATAAGGGGGAGAAAGAACACACCTTTTGCACATGTATCAAGCCCTACAATAACTAAGAATGAACCACCAAACAAATGCCCCGTTGTCGTGGTTTAACCTCAGTCGGCAACTGAGCACCACACAGCCGCTCGCTCACTCCCCCCACACCTCGGTGGGATGGGGGAGAGAATTGGAAGAGCACAAGTGAGAAAAACTCGTGGGTTGAGATAAAAACAGTTTAATAATTGAAATAAAATGATAATAATAATAATATGATAATAATAATAATAATAATACACAAAGCAAGTGATGCACAGTGCAATTGCTCACCACCCGCCGACCGATGCCCAGCCAGTCCCCGAGCAGCGGCCCCCCCGGCCAGCTTTCCCCAGTTTATGTACTGAGCATGACGCCACGTGGTATGGAATGTCCCTTGGGCCAGTTTGGCTGTGCCCCCTCCCAGCTTCTTGTGCACCTCCAGCCTTCTCAGCTGGTAGAGCATGGAAAACTAAAAAGTCCTTGACTAGTGTAAGCACTACCTAGCAACAACTAAAACATCAGTGCTTTATCAACTTTGTTCTCATCCTAAATCCAAAACACAGCACTGTACCAGCTACTAGGAAGGAAATTAACTCTATCCCTGCCGAAACCAGGACACCCGTGTTCTAACTCACGTTTATCAGCTATCAACAGGGTTCAGCCCGCTGAGACTCAACACAATTTTTCTAGTTTGTCATGGACTGTATGCAGAATAGTATTGCTCTATGTTCACAGAAATGGGCATCTAATTAAGGTAAGAGGCTTCAAAGATCATTCAATAGTAATATAATAATGATTAAAGTCTTCAGCTGACCTCATTCTCTATTATTTTAGGCATTGTGAACACTTCCAGCAAAAGATATTCCCTACTCCAAAAGGTTACACCCAAACTAGAAAAGTTAGATGCAGCATAAAAGAGTTGTTCTACTTTACAAGAAAAGAAATGAAGTACAGAAAGAGCAAATGACTTCCTTGATTTTGATTTGATTTTAGTACCTTCACTTCAACCTCCTTCTAAAATATTGTCATCTCTCTTGAATTTTATTCAATTCTCCTAAGACTTGGTCACTCTGCGCACACACACTGGACAGCTGAGGGAGAACAAGTTTAGTCAGTGTGAACTTTTTTCCTCCTCTTCTATCAATTGCTGTTGTCCACTGCTATTTTTGCTGCTTTGATATCACTTTTAAGGGTTTTTTAAAATAACTGAACATTACAAAAATATTATTATATGAATTAATTTATACCATTATGGAAAATGTTAATGTTGGGCATCAGAAACATATTATAGCTCTATTGCAATAGTAGCTAAAGGCCCCCAAAACCACCTGAGACTACTGTACAAATACTAAAATACATAAGGCAACAAGTACTATGCTCTACTAATTAGCTACATTTAAATGTTGATTTATTGATGTATTTGTTGGATAATTGTTTTACATATTAAAACACACACAATTCAATGCATGTGCTGTTTTGACAGAATTCTAAGTAACAGAGCATGACTGGAATCTCAGGCTGTAACCCCCTGCACGTCCCTCTGGGTGCGATGAAGAATTTAATGGACAGACATCACTTCAGTGTCCCAGTACCCCCTACAAAGTAACATTAAAAAAGAATGTGTTTTTCTTGCTAGTTTGAAACTGTTTTTCAGAACTGAATGAATTGACATATTAAATATTAACATTACAAGAAATGCCAAAAGGCAGCATCAGTCCACAAGAGGAACTGCAAAGGTTTCAAAGGACCCCCAATCTGATTCACCCTCTCTCTTCCCAAGCAACAGCAGAGGAACAAATGAAGCTATCAAATGAACCATGAAGTTTGTTGAAGCAATTAGTAATCAAGAATTTTCTTGGTTCTTTTTTCCTTTTTTTTTTTCTTAAACAAAGTAAAAGCATCTTGAAGTAAACCAACAAGTTTAGAGGACGCAATCACTTAGACCTCACGCCTTCAACACAGTAAACTACATCCTACTTGAACTTATGTGCATAGCTATGCTGTTTCACTGCTATCTGATGCATTCAGGTAGGGAATTAATTTCTTACAAATGTCAGGAATTTGGCAGCTTGCAACAGACAGGTTAGACAGCACAAGGCCATGCCTTTGAGAAATCCAGCATTCCAGATAAGGATCCAAGGTCAGGATTTCATTTGCGTTTTTATTGTTTTATTCACATTGATAGGTAAGACTACTGGGGCACATTTGCATACTATGTCTGAACAGTCATACTTAAATCTTATTAAGGAGGGACACTTCTATGATAAACCGCTTGTCCATACTTCAAGATTTTCAAAAACTGAATGTATATACAGTTTGTCTGCAAGATGACACTGCACTGCTACACATAAATGAAAAATTGCAACAAAAATGGCTTGAAAGGGTAATTAAATTGCAATTAAAAAAATGCAAAATTAATTTTTTATCTGTAACATTGACAGACAGTCCATGTTTGATTTTATTCTTGCACTATTTTGAAACTTTATCATTATTTTCTTTCACCCAATTCAGGATGATCTCTCTCTGCCTTTTAAGAGATCTTAAAAAGCCAAAGCCAGAAACAGAGAGGTTTGTTAGTATTTTCATTCCAAGTAAGATGACACTGGCTTCCTCCTACTCTCATCCTCCCCCAACCAGCTGCTCTGTCACTTCTGATACAATTTGTTGTAACTGCAACTTCCTGAGCTGTTGCAGATGACCGTAGTATGTCACCAGTACATGTGGCCTGTGCAATGTCAGGATGAAGCTTATGCTGACATTGTACATGCTACAAGTAATACTTTGTGCACTACAAAAACCTGGGATACCTGAACACCAAAAATAGTTTTAAAAGTAGTCCCTTGAACATTGCCTTAGACATTTTATTCACAAAGCTCCCACTGACTTCCTCAGGCACTTTGATTTACGACTCCTTGTTTAGGAAAGTAAGAATGACATTCCTCTGATCCAGTGTCTTTACTGCAGGCATCCAAGCTAGGTCACGTCACGCAGGCTACCTTTGCAGTGCAAAGAAACCACCATTCATCCATCCCAAAGGGTTTTTAAAGTATCCATGTCAGGACGCATCCTAAAGCACCTATTCCTCTCTGTCAGCTATAAATGAAAGCTCAGGCAGACTAGCTCACATAGGACATCTAAAGTGAGGTGAGATGAACCTCACCTTAAGAGTTTTAAATATTGCAACTTGCCTCATTTTACATCCAAGTTCAGCAGAAAGGCTACAACTCTTAGCCTATCTTTAAGCATTCATGATCCCCTTTCCATTTTACCCTATCACTCAGGTTTACCAGAATACCTTCAGGTGTCATAAATGCCCATGCTAGCTCAGACAAATAAAAAGTTATTTACACTAATCCAGAATTTCTGCAATCTTTTCCTTGGGTAGAACTTGCGTTTCTCAGGCTTTGGCATTTATGGATTTCTGATCATTTGGCCTTTGGTAGTGCTCTTTAAATTTGACCTATACGTAGAACAAAAAAGAAAATCTTTCAGGTCACTTTTTCTTCTAATCATCTTGTTTCCCTGCATCTTACTCAACTTGAACTCCTGATTTTGCATAGTTTGGAAGACACTTGGTACAACTACAGAATTCATAGCTCATGGTATCCACACTGTTTAAAAACAAACCAACCAACCTCAGAAAACTAACACGTTGCAGTGCTTCAATAACACAAGTAGTAAGCTCTATCCCAAAAAGTTCACAACCTAAAGATAGTATAAAACCAGGGAAAGGTCAGCCAACGTGTCTAGTGATGGCAAGAAGAGCCAGCATGATGCCCAGAAATGTTTCACAGGCCATCTTCCATGGGAAGTATCTTTTACAACTAGCTCATTCTAGTCCAGGAACCTACCTAGTTATTTTAAGTTTTCCTACTTTCCCCCAAACCTGCTAAAATCTTGGTGAAATTCACATACTGTTCATGGAGTCTCCCAACATTAATCAGCACAGCAAAGAAATCCCATTCATAGTCCCAATTCACACACTTCTCCATCTTACCTGGAAGAGCTATTCTAGCTATTTTGCTTCTCATTTAAATCCAAATGTAAGTTAAAATGCTTTGTTCAATGCATTGGATTTTACCACTGAGAAAGGACAAACTGTCATATATATTCAGGAGATACAACAATAAAAATTGATTAAGAAAGTGAGCATGTGAGGCCTACATGGTTTCATATTTTTAACTTTTTAAGCACAAGGAATGAGATCTGCTACTTTTCAGTAACCTTGTTTGATTATTTCAAAATGTTCTATAACAGCTCCCCAGGAAAAGTCCTCTCAGGAGGAACTACCAATTTACCTATCCACTTCAATCAGAAGGGTACACAGTCCTATTCTCCATCATGCTACCAAGGATACATGATGAAAAAAAGATAGATTTATACCGATATAACAGCTTTATGCTTTACAGAATCGCAGAATAGCTGACATTGAAAGGAACCTCCAGAGATCAGCTAGTCCAAATCCCTGCTGAAAGCAAGGTCAGCTAGAGCAGGCTGCTCAGGAATGCACCCACTTTTTAATATCCAACAACGGAGACCGCACAGCATCTCTGTGCAACCTGTTCTAGTGTTCAACCACCCTCACAATAAAAGGTTTTTTCTTGGGTTAAATTGGAGGGTTTTGTATATAAATTTGTGCCCATTGCCTCCTCTCCTGTCACTGAGCACCAGTCAGAAAACTCTGGCTCCGTCTAATTTATACTTCTCTCCTAATACAGGAGATACTCCAAGTGCTCAATCATCTTTGCGGTTCTTCATTGGTCTTGCCTCCAGTATGTCCATGTCTGTCTTGTACTGGAAGCCCAGAATCAAGCTTTGCGCTCCAGATGTGTCTCACCAGGGCTGAGTAGAGGGGAAGGGAAGGATCCTGCCAGCAACACTGTGCCTAATGCCGCCCAGACTGTGGTTGGCCTTGTTTGCTGCAAAGGCACATTGTTGGCTCATGTTCAGCCTGCTGTCCACTAGGACAACCTGTTGCCCCAGGTCCTTTTCTGCAAAGTTGCTTTCCAGACATTTGGTCCCAGCCTGTACTGGTGTATGGGGTTACTCCTCCCCAGGTACAGGATGCAAACAGCTGGGGAAGACCCAAACAAAACAGTAAAAACCCTCAAACAGCTGAGAAGCAGTGACTACTAAATAAAAAATTCCTTTCCTACTCAAGATTCTAAAATAAATATGTCCCCACCTATGCCTTAACTTTGGCACAACAGCAGTAGGTCAGATGGCTCTTCAGGCATTAGGGTCGTGAGCCTGTGTTGAGAATCAACTCACACAGGCTATACAGGCATACTTACCACCAACTGCTAATAACACGATTATTGTTTCTGCTGATGCCATGTTTTAAAGCTTAAAAATCAGAACAATTTAGCAGTTCCAGACACTGCTGCTAAGGCACATATGAGCAGGTCAGTTATTCCAACAGCAGTTCTATTCAACTAGCATGCCTCGAGAACTATAGTGCAGCAGATTACTTACCCTTTGAGCTTTGTCTTTTAACTCCTGATCTTGAGCTAAGAAAGCTTGCATCCTCTTTTGAATGTCTGTAAGTTTTTCAGGATTAATTCTAATTAAAAAAAAAAAGTTAGCTTTAATTATTAGAACATGCAAAAATAAGCACCTATTAAGTTCTCAAGAGTATCTTCACTACTTCTGCATTGCTTTCATATGCATAAAGCTATTACCACTCTAAACGAGCTTAGAATGGAACCGTATTAAGGATGAAGCATACACTCCTCAAACGAATAAAACAGAAAAGACAAATGGGAGCTCAGACTTTTTATCCAGAGACAGTTTTCAATGAATGTGATGAAACTTCTTCCAAAGCAAAGCCAAAAATCAGCAGTAAAGAACTTCTTGAACTTAAAAAAATACTGAGAAAAAAATACAGAAGCAGCATAATGAATTATAGTACTACTTTATACTGAGATAGCAGTCTTCATAAGGAAATTCTCAGCGTTTCTGAAAGCTTAAATAAGATCCATTGTCCTGGGAATACTGAAATTTAAGTACTTCTTTCTTAGAGCCAGATGAGCAAAAATAAAGGACATTGAGATTAAACAGATTTAAGAGCTTCTCAAAATACTGATGAGGTGAATAAAGAACAGTGACTGTACTATAGAAAATGCCATTAAACCTAGTAGGAAGTTATGCAAGTCCTCTCCCAGACTCTGGATTTTTACACTTATTCCAGTGATACCTATACTATTCCAGGTTTATTTGCCCAGATCTTTTCTTATCTACTTCTGGTTTTGATCTGCTACTGCCACCCAAGTGTATCATACAACCTACCAAACACAGTAGGAGGGTACCCCTCAAGTAGAGGTCAAAAGAGATGCACAACTACCAGATTTCTTACTCTGGTTCATGCTGCAGTGTGCCATGTCATCCCATACAGTACAACAAAACATAGCCTTTGCTGCAGGAAGTCAAGAAAAAAAAAAAAGAATCAAAATCATGCTTCTTCACAAAGCATTAAGTCAGTCTAGAAAACATGACTGATTAAAAAACATTTTATAGCCATTTTTTTGTAATGTAAGCCATTATGATCATCTATTATTCTCACTAAATATGAATGCAGCAATTAAGCAAAGGGTTGGAGGGTATTACCAAAGAATACCTTAATTTATAAAGACATCAAGCTTTATTCCCTCACCATTTCAATTTCTTATCTCTGTCAGATACAGCCAGTGGAAGACTGTAGTGCACCCAAGAGCTGTTTAGCTACAGTTCTAGTGAAAGATCAAAAATCTGAGTTCCGGTTTCAAGCCACCATATAATTTGCTCTGAAAGTGTAAAGACATAAGAGAGAAAAGAAGAGGCATGAAAAATTCAGTGGGGGACAAGCTGACCAACAAGTCTTTGAAATGCAATGCAGGACGGAATGCACACAAGATACCAAAGATAGAAAAAGTAAATAGAGAGAAGGCTCTTCTCGATTTTATTCCATAAAACAAGATTGAGAAGGTGACAATGAAAATATCTATGATCCTAACAAAGGAAAAACGGTAGGATAGCAAAATAAAAGCAGTGGCTTGTTTAATACCAAATGGTATTAGAAGGTACAAACACAAAGTATACTACTGCACTGCAGAGGAAATACAGGAGGAAGAGTAAAAAGGCTAGCTAGATGAAATCAACATGTTTACAGAGACCTGAAACTCAAGAAGAAAGCTTAAAGTAGAACTGAAGACAAGTATAAAACCAGCACAAATTCACTGGGATAAAGTAATACAAGCACAAAATGAGATACAAAAAGTAAAGAAGGGATAGCATGAATAACCAAAAAAAAAAAAAAAAAAAAAAAAATTTAACATGAACACCAGTAGTAAGACAGCCCAACAGTGTTGTATTGCTGTTAAGTTATGGGAAAGCTATTAAGAGACAACCTCAAGGCACTTAAATTAGCCAGTGTCTTTTTTCCCTTGTCTTCACTCAAGGTGGCAGCTGCGGTCAGACAGCTAACAACAGCTACAGCATAGTCCAAGCTCACACCAGAATCACAAATCACAGGGTAACAGGTACTTAGATAAATCAGCAAAAGAAATTTGCTCCATAGCAACTAGAGAGAAAGTCAGAGCACTTTGAGTCACAGTTGTATCTATTCTTGAGAAGACATCTGAGAGATAAAAATCTATGAGACAGGGCAGGTAAACATAGTGCTCATCTTCAAAGGGGACAAAAAAAAGAGAAGTTAAACGATTTAACTTTTTTCTTGATACCGAAAAAACAATTTGTAAGCACCAACATAGCTTAGTCAGACTAATCAGTTTGATTATCCTTCATAGCAGCTTTAGCAGGCTTTAAGAATGGGAAAGAAACAGCAGATGCCATATCTTGATGTCAGCAAAGCATCTGGCAGTTGCACATTCTCATAAGCTAGGGAAATATGGTCTACATGAAATCTTTAAGTAAATGCAAAACTGGCCTTGGAGCTGAACTCAAAGAGTAGTTGGGATTGACTCACTGCGAAACTCAGAATGCATACCAAGTTCCAGTTCTCACCTGGGCCCACTATTACTCATTATTTTCTATAACAACTTGATTATTGTAGGAATGTGATTCACTATTTACAGGAGACAATACATCATTGGGGCTCCAAGCTTAATGGGCAATAATCTTAGACAAGATGTAACAACACTTTGTTGACTGCATATAAATTTTAGTTTAAGCAATTTGGTTGAAATTTGCAAGAAAAGGGTTTGAAAAAGACAGAAAACACAAGATGCTTTACAGTTAAAAGCAAGCCAAGATACTGTGGTGTAAATCTAAGCAATGTCAACCAAGAATACGGTGCCCCAAGCACATTTTGAGGTTATGTGTTTGTTAATGAATGAGTAAATTTGCAACACTGAATATTAAAAAAAAGAGTCATAATACTGGATTCTCTCCTCTCCAACGCTGTCTCATGACAACCGCCCACTGTTGTCTTCGTCTCATGCTGGGATTCCAAAAATAAGAAAGCTGGTCATTGTTAAATTGGATTTTGGTTTTAATGAGTTTGCATGTTTTTTCTTTCTGAACAAATAAAACTTTTTACAATAATTATATATATGTGACTATTTGGAGAGACAAATCTAAAATCTAAACACTTAAATGAATTATCTTAATTTATAAGCTTGCCTAATCAGCTAAGAACCAGTGAGCTAGAACCACCTATGCAAAAACTAGAAGGGGATTTTATGACATTGTCTGTCATTTTAACTAGGCTGTTTCTTTCTTTTCTTACTCTGCGAGTACAAATCTTGCATTTAAGGAGCAGTATAACTTTTTGAAACTGTTGTTTTGCCTAGCAGTTGCATAAATGGCCACACTTGACTGTGCCATGATATAAATACGAACTCAGCTTGCTTGGTCTTATAAACTGATCAGACAGCACTCTCCAAATTTCCTGGTTGATACGCCTCGGCTTTCCACTCATTTCCCCTGTTTTTAAGACCAGGATACAAGCACTGCTTTAACTAGATACTCTCTCTTCCCCATCCTCTCCAAAGCGAAATTTAAACAAAAAAAGCTCAACAACCACCAAAAAGACCATGCTGCCATGATGTAGCAAAAGTTTCCATATTCCACCCAGCTTCCAAGCAGCAGCAGGTTTTGCTCCGTGCCCTCAGCCTGGACTGTGGCTCCCTATGGTTACACTGGACAACCTGCAAGGTTGGAGAGAGGAGGAAGAGCTGGGACCTAAGGAAGGCTGCTCAGAGTTGCCAGCCTCACATCAGCAGATCACGTACAGGTGCATAACCACGCCGGTTAGTGAGACAAACGGACTGTCCTACAGTAATAATGGTAATTGGGAGGCAGCAAGTTTTAACAGATTGCCTAGTATTAATATTACTGTCGTAGAATACATATCCAAGTATTCTCCACTGTCAGAAAAAAAGGTGGTTTGTTGTTGTTATTGTTTCTTCAAGAACAACATTTTTGTCATAATATTAAAGCAAGCAGTATTACATCGTGGGTATCTACATACTTGCACTTCCTTTGGTAAAATTTTCTAGACACAAAATTTGTTACAATAACCCCTTAGGAAGCAGGTCTTACCTTGTTACTCAACAAAATGGGATGCAATGAAGTAGTCTCAAGGTATTATCAAAAATAATTTCAGTTTACAGTTTGTATCTAAAACTTTGAAGTTATAGACTCCTTATAAATATGTACATAATATTTAATACTTTCAGAGTAGCTTTTTGCCATATTTGGATGCTCTAAAATACAGTATTTATTATTGCATATTTTGCATTTTCTCTTGCTCTGTTTGAACAATGAAAAAGAGATGTATTGTTAAAAGCACTACCTCTAAATTGGCAGCTTGTGCTGATTAGAAAGGTATGGTATACTAACAGACTTTACAGGGAGCTTAGATCTGAAATTGAAAATTAGGAAAACAGCCTAAACCCTAGCCTTTTGAACTGGTACTCAGGAAAAGAGAAAAGTTATTCCCCTTTCTCCTCTGAAATGATGGACCTGTTTTAAAAACTCTGTCTAAATGAAATAAAGAAGTGTTTAGAGCTGTTTGTAGGTCAGAAAATACAAACCAAGGAAAGTAACAGAAAACTGGTTCTTGCAGTCTCTATGCAAGGTAACAGGTTAACAAGAACAGCAAAACAAACACTTTAATTGACAGTGATGTTTTAGAAACAAAAAGCTTTCAGAATGAATTGCAGAAGTTTGAAGAGTTAAAGTCTGTTGGCAGTGAGCAATGCTCATTACCTTCTAACTCACAAGTTAAATCAATTCTTGAGAATCTATAATTAGGTGAATATACACAAACAGCACCAGAAGACTTCAACAGAAGACCTGGAACGTGATTCATGGGTTGATGGAACTTCTTCAACAATTTATCAATTGACAAAACACACCAGGGCTGTATTAATTGGGAAACTGGGTAGAAGTAAATGACCTAAGAAAAGTTGTAGTTAAAAACTTTTAGGATGAAACTGGTGTACAATCCACAAGTAATTACAAGAATTTTTTTTTAAGGATTTTTAATTAGCATCTTAGAGGTACGATGCTAAACCATTTAAGCCTTAACCACACCAGGTAGACAATTCGAAGTTAAAGCATTCCCCTTCATTACGATGTCACAAATACTAATAAAGTATGTTTTGCAGATTGAAAACCTGGATCTCAGGGCAGGCTGTTAAAATATATTACCAACCAAAAGCCCTGAATTTACTTAAAATGATTCCAGTTAAGAATGTTACTTCAATGTATTTATTATACATATGCCCTAGTGGCTTGGTAAAAGAATGTATTTTTGGGGTGGTGTTTAAAAAAAAAAAGCAGACTTTTCCATTGATGCAACATCAGATTAGCAAGAATGTGTTAAGAGATGCAGCCATGGATGCCTCCCCAGAGACACATCTAACTTGGATTATAAATAGAAGACACATTTATTAGGGGGGAAATGAAGTACTTGCCTTATTAAAATTGAACTGTTATTCTGGTACAAAAATACCGATTTGGATTTGCATGAATAAATACAGGCTAAAGAGGCTTTTTTACCATGTTCCATGATAAGCTGTTCAAAGAACTAACTGCATTACTCAAGAAGTTAAAAGCTTAGCTGTCAAAGAAAAGTGAGATATTAATAATATGCATGAGATCAGATATTTATTTAGTGAATATCAAAATAAAATAAATTATTTGAATAACTATAATTTTAAGAAGCAAAAAGATGAAATTTGGAAAAAGAGACAATTTGCTTAGGCTGTGGTGGTTATACAACAGATCCTTTTAAAGCACTATGACGCTTAAAGGAAAAGAAGATATCAGATTAATTCAGTTTCCTTACTGATATTGTCCACATTCAGTTGGGGGGTTTTTTGTTTGGTTTTTTGTTGTTGTGGGGTTTTTTTTAAAACAGCAATGTCAAAAGAAAGCTTTAAGCACAATTAGACTTTTGATAGTTGTTTGACTCCATTCTAGTCCTTATTTTCGCTGTACTTGCCTTAAAATTGAACTGTTATTCTGGTACAAAAAAAAGCACTTTTCCATTGATGCAACATCAGATTAGCAAGAATGTGTTAAGAGATGCAGCCATGGATGCCTCCCCAGAGACACATCTAACTTGGATTATAAATAGAAGACACATTTATTAGGGGGGAAATGAAGTACTTGCCTTATTAAAATTGAACTGTTATTCTGGTACAAAAATACCGATTTGGATTTGCATGAATAAATACAGGCTAAAGAGGCTTTTTTACCATGTTCCATGATAAGCTGTTCAAAGAACTAACTGCATTACTCAAGAAGTTAAAAGCTTAGCTGTCAAAGAAAAGTGAGATATTAATAATATGCATGAGATCAGATATTTATTTAGTGAATATCAAAATAAAATAAATTATTTGAATAACTATAATTTTAAGAAGCAAAAAGATGAAATTTGGAAAAAGAGACAATTTGCTTAGGCTGTGGTGGTTATACAACAGATCCTTTTAAAGCACTATGACGCTTAAAGGAAAAGAAGATATCAGATTAATTCAGTTTCCTTACTGATATTGTCCACATTCAGTTGGGGGGTTTTTTGTTTGGTTTTTTGTTGTTGTGGGTTTTTTTTTAAAACAGCAATGTCAAAAGAAAGCTTTAAGCACAATTAGACTTTTGATAGTTGTTTGACTCCATTCTAGTCCTTATTTTCGCTGTTTTAGCAGAAGTTGTCTTATGTTTGAAGTTCATGCATGTTCTACACAGAATTGATACCCGTGTTTGACCAGAAAAGGTGTATTTACTTCACCGGCTGCTGTGTAATCAGTTTGTTATATAGATGCAGCATTCACAAGTGCAGTTCACAAGTAATTAAGAGATTACCACCGATGCTTTTTAGTGGTGTGGGGTTTTTCTATTAATTTTACAGTTAGGGTTTTTGTCTTTCCTACGTGTCTATTACTCTGCATTTAATAGAAATTGGAAATATAAATGCTTTTTTATTTTTACATGGTATCATTATATGCTTCTGCAACTCTTTCAAAGTCAGTTCTCTTTTGTACAGATAGCATAGATCTCTACAGGTCTCCATCGGAATACTCTCTTGTATGTAAAATGACCATTTAGCCACATCTTTTATTTCCTATTCTTCAACTAAATGATTCAGAAAGATCATGACAGATCAGAGAAACAATCTAGAACTAAGGTAAGAGAAACAAGAATGATAAAAGGTATAAAAACATAGAAGGACAGATTAAAGAAATTGTAATTGTTTAATCTGCAAAAGAAGAGAAAGAGATAGCATGATAATGTTCCATTACATAAAAAGTAGTTGCAAAGAGTAAGAGAATACATAATTTTCCATATATTCTTGGCACAGGACAAAAGAAATATTTCACTTAAATTACTTACAAGGCTTATCAGATACTTGAAGAAAAAACCTTAATGGCAGGAATTGTTGAGTATAGATGAGATCACTTTGGGAAACTGTGAAGATATTCATTGGCAAGTTAGACAAGCATCTGATAAGAATGATTTGTGCAGCTGATCCTGCCTTTGGGAAAGGGGATGGAACAGGTAACCTCTCAAGGTCTTTTCCTTCTACAACACTATCAAAATCAAATTATCTCCCTTGTTTGTCCAGCTCCAGGCAATTCAAGCACTTTACTCCATCAGGATCATCATAGACTCACCACACATTATTCCTATAGAAAGAAGGCTGAATAACAGACAAGCCATTAGTCACTTACTTGATTTCACTGACAGGTACTTTCCTCTGTGCCAGCTGTTCCACCATGCCTTTTTCTTCTGAGGGAAGCAATACTAACAAAGCTTCACCACCTTCTTTGTATCTGATTGAGGGGGAAAAAAAAAAAACAAACACCACAAAAGAGACCTCAAGCAGACATGCAAAAAATACAATTTTTTGTTGATGTTTTAATACCCAATGAGAATTTACATTTGCTTCCTTATAAGCAGCCCAAGGAGCAGACAAAAATCCTCACTTTAAAAAGGGAAAAGAAAAGGCAAACCAGTTAAGTGACTTGCCAATATCTCCACTTGAGCTGATTTCAAAACTACACCTAGAGCCCTAAACATCTGGGACCAAGACACAGATTCAGATCAGTAGATCTTTCCTTCCCTAGATTAGAAACATTTCTGTAGTAGTCAAATGGCACTTGATCAAAGCTTACAACACTAGAAGATCTAGCTACTTGCATTCATCCTTTACCAATAGGTGTCTTAACACCTGGAACAACTGATTCTCCTTTGCACATCCTGCAAGTGTAAAGGTTAGGAAAGGATAAGTGCCTTGATCCCAAACAACTCCTACTTGCATGTTCAATAAAGGCTACTTTTCTAACAGGTCACAGAGGCATCACTGAAAGAAAAGCATAAAAACAGGAGTTCTTTCATTTATAGAAGCAGTTTTTAGGTGCAAAAGAAAAAATACTCTCAAACTGATCCCGCAAGATCATATCTAGTATTCACTCTTCAATGCATTTAACAGCTGTTAATGCATCAAATGTAGCTGAGTTAGTAGTTACTCAAGATACATGGTCAGCAGAGAAATAAAAATTCTTCTATTTTATTCTTAAAGCATCTTCTTGTTCACTTTCTTTTTGTGAAAGAAAATGTCAGTTCCTACTTTTGGCAAATTTAGTAACTTGAGGACATTCACGGAGAACAAAAAAAAAAATACCCAACAGCATTAGTAACCAAACAACAACGAGTTAACTGAAAAAGTAGTAATGATGAGTTAGCTTATCTGCATTATCTAAGTCCATATCTATTGTAACACATATATTATTTCTTCATTTACATTTACCGTACAGATTGATAGGAAAATATTGCATAGAGTCCTCCATTATATAAAAAACAACAATCCAAGTAAATTTCAGAAATATGCCAAAATTGGACAGAATCCAACTCGCAACCAACTGAAGAGAGGAATGTGTGGGACAAAGCAAAATAGGAGAGTGGTAAGTTACTATGCAGAGCAGCTCTAAACTGCCAAGAGCTACTCACAGGGAAGTCCCTAGGCAGCAGCAGGTTGTAAGCCTATACATAAACTGCTATGACAACAAGTATTCCATCTATTTGAAACAGAAAATTCTCATCGTATTATTTTTCAAGTATCAATTTCTATCAAATTATTTACTACCTTAGCAGGCCTTTGGTTTGGTTCCTACTCCAGTCATATTTGTCTTTTTTTTTTTTCCTATGCTGGTAAAATTTTTCATCCATCTTAAGCATATCTGGTTTGTCCTTTCTGTTTTCTATAAGGAAAATTAACTGTTTCCTCTATCTTTATTCCACTCAGTCTGTTGCCATTTCATAAATCTTCAGCTTCTGTTACTCCATCATACAGTCTCCTGTTGGGTCTTTACTCCAATTGCATTCACTCTTCTCCATCAAGAGAACCATCAAGGAAAGAATATTATACAAAAGGTATAAACTGTCAGCAGAAGGGTAGGAGATGTTATTAGTTTGCCTTTGGGTCAGAGACCACAGAGAACAATTTACAAGACTGTAAATGAAGAAATAATATATGTGTTACAATAGATATGGACTTAATCACATATCTTTCCAATAAAAGCTCAGAGTGACAGAAGAAAACACCAGTTCAGTCTTTGTGGATAGAAGAGGGGACATAAGTGCTATTTAAGGAAGTATTAGAGTCAAGACTCCTTGGCTTAAGAGAGCTTTTAAGTTGGAGGCCAGAGAGCGCAGAAGGATGTTTTCAGGCACACCAAACAAGAATCATACCATTAACTGATAAAAATAATTTCAGATGGAATATAGGGAGCCCACATTTCTCCAAGTATACACAGTTATCACTTGGCAAAAACAGTACTGCAGAACTGTTTGAAAACTATAAACACTATCTGTCACAGCATAATAAGCAATGCAAGTAGCAACAAAATCTGCAGTTAAAACAGTCTGACAGCTTTTATTACAGCTCTCTGCTTTCATTTGATGAATTTGAAAAATCACAACAAAATGCTCTTGGATGCTGGGTTTTTTTTTTTGCCCAATGCTATACATGATGGGTTTTGGGACTGACTTTTAAAGATAATTTTAAAATGTTTAATAAACGTTTTCGTCATGAGATTTTAACCCTTACATTCTAGATTTCGAAATTTTACATGGAAATCAAATTGATACAAGAGGAGAGTCTCTGCCACATACCAGCACTATGTAAATTTACTGGTTTTATATGGTTTGGTAAGAGTACCAAAAGAAGTGGTAAGACATTTGGACTTTGTCCCAAAAAATACTGCTTTAAGGTTGTGGGTGAGGGAGAGATACTGTACAAAAACTATACTAACTTGATTTTAATCCATTTAATTAGTAGACCTAAAATGTTCTTAATGCAGAAATATCAGCTTGTAGAATCTTTCTAATAAAGAGTTCTAAAGCAACCCCTATGCTTGGTTTAAGGCAATTTATTATCTTTACCAACAGCATAGGGGGACGTAAGTCACTGCTGACCAAACATCCCATGAATGTTTGGGATTGGATCCCATTAATGATTGGGATTAATTATGTAATAATTAAGGTTGGGAATGACTTGCTTACATAGACCAAGTGTACCTTCTAAGAAAGCTCTATATATTTTAACCCAGCCAAATTCCACATGATATTTCCACAAAGTGGGTGCATGTCAGATACTGCCACTGCTTGAACAAGCAATGAAATCCCAGAAAGCCAATGAAACTTAGAGGACTTTGCATTTTATGGCAATAATTAATGATCACAGTTCCAAGGCAGCTAATTATTCATCAAAAGAACCTGAACTCTCAGAGCACTGTTGGAAAGAAGGATGAAAATGTTCTCTTTTATCTACCCAAGGCTTGTATCAGACAGGAAGACAGAGATAATATTGCTGCCAATACTAGTCTCACTGATTTAGAGTGCAGAATAACACACAGCTCTGCTATTCTCTTCCGAACAGATGCTACGAAAGGAGAAGATTCCAGAAAGAGCTATGAGAATGATCTGATATCTAGAAAGAATGTCTGTTTAGTCTCTTAATAAGAATCTTCCCCATTTGTCAAGATGACCAACAAAGTCTTGATCACAGCGTATAAGCACCTACAAAGGATGATTTTTGCAGATTCTTTAAATTTAGTCAAAGGTATGAAGTGATTTGTGTAGTTTTGTTGCTTCCGGCATTTGTAATCCTGAAGTGCTTGACTTTGCATTCTTAAATTGTTGCTTTATTATATTTATTTTATTCAGTGCGCAACACACAATGAAAGACCAGTGCCATACAAATCATGGAAGAAATGCCCATCACGGGTCAGAGAGTGCAGACATCCTCTCTGCAAGCCACAAACCCAAAGTCTGGAATGATATAGCACTGGAAATATCATTCTGTATTAGTTTTGCTTTTATAGCTTTTCCTCAGTACCCACGAGTCACTCTCAAAACAGGATGCAGGATCAGAGGAACCTTCAATCTGACCCTTGAAAGGTGTTCTTGTGTTATTAGTGCTAAACACATTATATGCTGAGTCAGTTACCTTTTCAGAAAGTACAAATTCAGGAGATGTAATTCTAAAGGCACATTTGATAATTCACAAAAAGAAAACAAGCATTAAATCTGGTATCTATGGACAACAACTAATTCAATGTTTACATTAAGTCTTGCAAAGCCTTTATACAGAGAAAATAGTACTATAGCTAAGTAAAGAAACAATCACATAAAAATAGACAAAGAAGAGACAGAGGTTTCCAAACACCTATACTTTCTCATCTTTTGGCAACTACTAAGGAAAAAAAAAGGCAACATTAAAAATATTTCTCAGAGCTGATGCCTTCAGAAATTCAAAGGGACTGAAAGACATCTGGTAACTATTGATGCAGTGTAATCTTTTTCCCTACCTATTTTAGAAACATTCACTCTTTTAAATGCCAATATTTTAAACGTACTTGAAGTTAAGGAGGAACAGTCTTTGCCCATTTTTACATTGTAAGTGTGATTTAATTAATTAAAACAGTTTAATATTAATGCTGTTCTTCAGAGCTAAACATCAAAATGAAATCATTACAGAATTGAGAAAGCTGAAAACCAATCTTAAGTACCATCTGGTAAGGTTTGTATCTGTTCAGTGTCCCCAATGGGTGTTTAGTTAAAGAAAGCAAAACACAAGCCCACAAAAAAGGAGTTTTACTTGGGCAGAGTATTATCTTATTTCTCAAAAAAGAACAGAACAACTCCGTAATATGCTAATAAAAAAATTATGGTCGTAAAGATAAGCTCAAAAAGAGAGGTTGCAGTGGAAAATTTAAGTTTTCAAGTGTGTTTTCTCTGTGTCTTTCATACTAAAAGCTTCTATATTGGCAAACTTATGAAAGCACAAGCTACTAAAAATTACATAAACATTAAAGAAAAGAACACTTAGATCTTCTGCTTAAAATTTGTTTCCATTACAATGCCTAAAACTTAGGAGAAAAGAACATCCCTCAGTATCCTAAGGGAATAAAATTCTCCACTAAAGCCAACAAAAGAACATTTCTGTAATTATTTTCAGATCACAGTTCCTTTAAACCTTTATATACGATAAAGCAGCAGAGTCAACCTCAGCTACTGAATTTCTTCAGCAGGAGGACTACTTCTTCTGCAGATGAGAAGAAATTAGGAGAAGTTCTCCCCATTCTTGCTGATTGCAGCCTTCAAGTTGTCCATCATCGCTAAAACCAAACATCTGTCCCAAAAGGCTAATTCACTCTGGTGATTTATTATTCACTAAGTATGCACCTCAGCTGTGCTGGAGAAAAGTAAATTAAAAACCTCAAAGTAATCAAACTTTCTTGCACTGTGTAGTAATTGATTACTTATCTTG